GTCCGTATTCACAGGGTTATACTTTTCATGCTTATCATTCATGTAACCCCTAACATATGCACACATGGCACACCTTCGTACACCAGTACAGCTGTGTGTCCGTATTAACAAGGGTTTTACTTTTCATGTTTATCATTCATGTAACCCCAACATATGCACACATGGCACGTTCGTACACCAGTACAGTTGTGTGTCCGTATTAACTGGGGTTTTACTTTTCATGCTTATCATTCATGTAACCCCAACATATGCACAGATGGCACACCTACGTACACCAGTTCAGCTGTGTGTCCGTATTAACAGGGTTTACTTTTCATGCTTATCATTCATGTAACCCCCAACATATGCACACATGGCACACCTTCGTACACCAGTACAGCTGTGTGTCCGTATTAACAGGGTTTTACTTTTCATACTTATCATTCATGTAACCCCCAACATATGCACACATGGCACACCTTCGTACACCAGTACAGCTGTGTGTCCGTATTAACAGGGTTTTACTTTTCATGCTTATCATTCATGTAACCCCCAACATATGCACACATGGCACACGTTCATACACCAGTACAGCTGTGTGTCCGTATTAACAGGGTTTTACTTTTCATGCTTATCATTCATGTAACCCCCAACATATGCACACATGGCACACGTTCGTACACCAGTACAGCTGTGTGTCCGTATTAACAGGGTTTTACTTTTCATGCTTATCATTCATGTAACCCCAACATATGCACACATGGCACACGTTCGTACATCAGTACAGCTGTGTGTCCGTATTAACAGGAGTTTACTTTTCATGCTTATCATTCATGTAACCCCCAACATATGCACACATGGCACACATTCGTACACCAGTACAGCTGTGTGTCCGTATTAACAGGGTTATACTTTTCATGCTTATCATTCATGTAACCCCCAACACATGCACACATGGCACACGTTCGTACACCAGTACAGCTGTGTGTCCGTATTAACAGGGTTTTACTTTTCACGCTTATCATTCATGTCACCCCCAACATATGCACACATGGCACACGTTCGTACACCAGTACAGCTGTGTGTCCGTATTAACAGGGTTTTACTTTTCATGCTTATCATTCATGTAACCCCAACATATGCACACATGGCACACGTTCGTACACCAGTACAGCTGTGTGTCCGTATTAACAGGGTTTTACTTTTCATACTTATCATTCATGTAACCCCCAACATATGCACACATGGCACACCTTCGTACACCAGTACAGCTGTGTGTCCGTATTAACAGGGTTTTACTTTTCATGCTTATCATTCATGTAACCCCCAACATATGCACACATGGCACACGTTCGTACACCAGTACAGCTGTGTGTCCGTATTAACAGGGTTTTACTTTTCATGCTTATCATTCATGTAACCCCCAACATATGCACACATGGCACACGTTCATACACACATGCAAACACCCACGTGTTCCTCTATCTTCGACCAAACACGTCTGTGTTGACGCAGTCAATACATTTGTTGCAACAAGTCTAAGGCATCGCGACATTGTCAACGTCACATATGGTGAGTCCGTCATCTCCTCAACATAATCTCAAGGCGTGAAGCAACTGAAATTGAACGAACGAACGAATGAATAATAGGAAATGTGTGATTTGACATTCGTAATATACTGACTATATTGATTTGAAGCTTCGCTATATATGTCCAGTATACATAGGGGAGGATTAAATACCTTTTGAACATTCAATACCAAACAACAGAATGCTGTGAATTGTTTTGCAGGTTTGATTGAAGCTGTTATATACTAGTAAACTGCAGGCTTTTCCACGCCTGGTTAAAACAGAAATAGAGTAGTTAAACTATGTATGTTTGTCTAGGTCTGACTGAACATGTAATAAATTAAAATATCCACGTTTGTCTAAGAATATACAGTTACACTGTCCATGTTTCTCGGGGAGCATGAAGCAAATAAAGTAATGGTAAACTGTCCATGTTTGTCGAGGAGAATGAATCTGTGATATACTGGTAAACTGTCCATGTTTGTCGAGGAGAATGAAGCAGTAATATACTGGTGAACTGTCCATGTTTGTCAAGCTGCATGAAGCAGCAGTGTACTGATACATCTACAGTTTCCAATAGTATACTGGTAAAGTTCTTCATGTGTGTGCAACATGTTTAGGGCAGTATGAAGAAGTAATATTATGGAAAATTATATACTATTTTAAGACTGTCCGAGAGAAGCGGTAGTGAAAAATAGCAAGCGGATGCAAATAATTTTCTTTTTGTGACATCAATATCAAATAATTTCATATATTACACGCTCATCTTTCAAAATAGGACAGTCTGTTTGTTTGGTTCATTTCACATTACATAGTATCCAGTATATGCCTTTTCCCTCTATGGTGGCAACAGCTTTCCACTCAAATCCTGATCTGCGATAAGCAACAGGGTTTCATCAGTGTCACACCAGTGTCACACCAGTGTCACACCAGTGTCACATCGAGCATAGTAAAGTTGCAACACACCAGTCTTTTCACGACAGTCATTGGGAAACCACTAACCTGTGAGGATTTTCCCTGTGTTTCCCCATCTTCTGTCCGCCATTATTTTCCATTCCTAGGTGAATCAATAAAGAGTTATCTGTACTAATTTTTCCCCACCAATGTGAAACACTCTGCCCTTATGGGATGAAAAAACACACTCTTACTTTCCACAATCATAAACAAATCTGGTCAGCATGATCATTCTTCATCTTCTATTAAGAAAGATGTTTCTGAAGCAAAGCGACTTGGTACAGGTCATAACATATCATAAAATAAATATACAATCAATGACAAATCTATTTGATATTTTATAGCTATATCTGATTTTTTTCGAAACTGGTGATGAGAAACACATAAAATGATGGCGTTACAAGCTTCCAGATCACACAGGATTTGTATATAATAATAATCTTTATTTGCACTGAAAAGGCCACAGGCCTATAGTACATAAAGTTATGTTAGATTTGAGAGGAAGATAGATCGGGTAATCATAGCATAGTAAATGAACATTGAAATATTTTGTAGAAGAACTGGATTTTGTACTACTTAACAGTGAGGAGACTTTTATCACATTTGGATGGACTTAGTAATATCTTTTAATATATTTTGTTCGCAACCGGTCATAAAATGGACATATTAGGAGGAAATATAATTCATCTTCTATTTCGTTTAAATTACAAAGTGTACATAATCTATTTTCTCTTTTTACATTCATATATCTGCCTCTTTCAATCAGCAAATCATGAGAAGAACATCTGAATCGTGCCAGTGCTATTCTAAACTTTGTAACATTAACACAGGATAGATATGACTCATGGACTATGACAATTTTAAGCAATGAATAATACATGCATTTATTTGAAAGGATATCCTTTCACACCATGTTTGGATATACATATCTTTTAGTCTTGACGTCGTTAAGGATTGTATGAATAATGTAGGTGATGCGACATATTGTGTATTCCATGTACATGTAATTCCAAAACCAATAGAATATAGAATGTTTTTTACATTAGTTGCCCAGTCTTTTTTGTCCATTTTTATCATATAACAACATTATATTATTACACTTCATGGGTAAGCGATTTGAAGGCATAATCAACAGTTTTAGCCAGTACTTAATAACTTTAATGCTTGTAAGAATGTGCATTGGATACCTACCGCATTCACCAGAAATCACTGCGTTGATAGTGTTAATTTTAACTCCGAGGAATTTTTCGCATGCGTATAAATGGATTTTTTCAATTTCGTCAAATTTTGTTATTCCCCATATTTCGGCCCCATTGATAAAATTGGACTGACTTTGGCATCAAATATTTTAAAGAATGAAAAGAAGTTAATATTACCAAGTACACTCAACTGTTTCATAATTCCAATTAATGCTTTTTGTCCCTGTAACGCTGCATATTTTACATGCATCGTCCATGACAGGCCACTGGTGAAATATAGTCCCAAATATTTATAAAAGCCAATACACTTCAGCTTCATACCTTTATATAACCAGTTTTCCTTTTTAGACAATTTGCCTCCATTTTTGAATACAACAATTTTCGTTATTCTCTATTTACAGTTAATTTCCATTTATCGCAGTAACTTTCAAGTTCATTAATTTGATTCTGTAAGCCATTAATCGTGCTTGAGAACAGGGTTTGTATAAACTTGGTACTCTTATCATCAGATACAACTGTGTTTTATCTGACAGAATATGTAAGCAAACTTTAGTTACTAATTAGATACCCAAACAGTTCAACCTTCCCAGGAATATTGTAAATAGTAGCTATTTAAGATGGATGGATGCATATATGCATGCATGTTCAAAAACATGCAAAAAACATAAATATATACAAATACAAGTGTGTGTGTGTGTGTGTGTGTTAATGCTCTAATCGTTTTAGTCATTAAGGGTAATTATGATGACAATTTCACTCTATAACTTCTACTGTAGAAGACTTTTCATTGTTATATTCTGAGAAAAGTCTGATATATTATAGTTGATATATACTCTGTGTCATCTACCTATCTATCTGTTAGAAATGGTATATTTTTGGAAAAATAAAGTTTAAATATTTCTTGATTAAATTATTTCGTTAGAGCTTAATACAAGGTCATATTTTTACTGAAATTACATGAATTATTGGGATCAAGTATTAAGAATAATTTATATTTATTCCAGCCCCTGAATTACAACGAACTAAGTGGAACAGTTGGATAGTGGACTCACATTGCGAGCCGGGAAAATCGGAAAGGGAATTTCCCGGTTTTATCGACAGTACTGGGAATACTGACAGGGGAAGTTACAGGGAATATCGGTCGGGGAATTACCGGGAATAACGACAATACTGGGAATGTCGCTAGGGGAAGTTACCGAGAATATCTCCAGGGGGCGTGGTTTCTAACAATGAGCTGTGTTTTGGCGTTATGAATACTCTGAAAGGGACATTTTCTGTGCGCGACATATAACGAGTGGAACTGCATTGTTTTGTCATTTCATCACATCTTGCCTATATCGATGTTCCTGAGTCTTACTGATTATCACTATTTGGACTCTCAAATTAGTTGCTACAAATAAAGAGGCCTGTGCTGAATACATCGACCGCTACTATGCTGTATGTTGGCCAGATGACAACTAAATGGACAGGCTCGTCTCGAGGCCTGCCGGACTGCGAGGGTGGGAGGGGTACAGATCACTGTCGTTCGAGGTGGAGAGAGACGGCGCGTGAGCCCGTTGGGTTGGAATCGGACCCCGCAATGGTTGACGGGATGAGAGAGGAAGAGAGACGACTTATGACTTACGAAAACTGGCCATCATCGTCACAGGATCCGGCCAAATTAGCAGAAGTTGGACTATTTTACACTGGACGACTGGACCGAGTCAAGTGCGCCTTCTGTCTTGGGGTGTTGAAGGAATGGCAGCCAGGGGATATCCCGCTGGCAGAACATAGGAGACACTTCCCTTACTGCAGGTTCATCCGGGGTGAGGATGTGGGCAATATTCCAGCCAGACAATCCACCATCCATCGGATACCTGGAACGTCTGGACTTAGACCAGCAACACGTGATGCATCTGTCTGGATCAAGGGATGTGGCACTTCTGATGTGAATGAAAGCATGTACATCACTCCCTCGCGTGGCCCACCAAACTACAGACTCCGACCTTCAGATACAGAAGCGTCTCCCCAACGATCTTCAGATACAGAAGGATACCCCAAACGATCTTCAGATACAAAAGCGTATCCCAAACGATCCTTAGATACAGAAGCGTATCCCAAACGATCTTCAGATACAGTAACGTACCACAAACCATCTTCTACAACTCTGCTGAACTATTCAACTGATAAGACTGTTGCCCAATCTGTGGACACTGCGGACGGAACTCTTGATTATACATCTGAAGCAAGTCGTCTGGCAACGTTCAAACACTGGCCTGTGGAGGCCCAGATTTTACCAGAGGTACTGGCTAGAGCAGGTTTCTATCACGCCCCCACTCCGGGTAAACCTGACCGGGTGAGGTGTGGGTACTGCCAGGGTAAGCTGTATGCATGGAGCGGGGAAGAGGATCCGGAAATGGAGCACAAGAAGTGCTTTCCTACCTGTCCCTTTGCGGGGATGGCTGGAGGAGAGGCGAGGAGGACGAACCATTCTTTGACATCATCAAGTATTTCAAGGTAAGGCGTACATGGTACAGTCAATGTGATAAATGATTAAACTTTTAGGTAGTTTTTAAATTGAAGGATTAACTAATCAATTTACAAATTGTCCAAATATTCCAATAATTTACAACTGATTGAAAAATCTCTCCATATTTTTGACAGACTGATTGAAAATATTGACGAATTCCAAACATTTTGACAATGAATTTCGTCACGTTGTCATAAAATTATTAATGGATTAAACTAAAATGCGTATATAGGTATGTAACTGTATGCCTTTATTTATCGTTATAACTGTATGTCTTTATAACTTTATTCATCTTTATAACTGTATATATCTTTATAACTTTGGATAAAACACGTAAACAACAAAACAAAATCAGAATTGTTGAATGTGTCTTATTTGTTTTCTTGATTTCTTCAGTTATTGTATATGCGTAACCTTGAGTGACCCAGTGATGTAGAAGTTTGATCAATCTAGACCAACATACCAACACTTCTTTGAAATATATCTACGTGTACAGTCATGTTGAAAGTTACATGTTCTCTAAAACCACGTACAAGTAACATTCAAGATAGGTTTTAAACACAAATGAATTATGAATAGCACTTTTCTAATCATTGACAACCCTGACACTTTACAACAACCCGGATAATTCAGCGTTCTTGGAACATGTCCATTATCTTTTCAGCGGGTTATCAATCTGCACCTTTTGGGAACAATGAGCGCCATCAAACCTAATCTTGTTTCTGTTTCAGTTTCTGTGAAGGTAACAGAGCCACGTCAGTTCCAGAAAGACTTAACCTTCCTTCCAAGAACGCGCTGTCAACAGCGTCAGGTGACATGGCAACAACCAATCAAGCTGAGTTTTGTGAACGCATGCGCGGCGAAGAAGGCGTTTTGCCCAAACAGAACATGAAAGACATAGGTGGGGTGATGTTGAGCGACACTGTGGCACGAGTCGTGGAGATGGGGTTTGCCAGGGAGACAATAGAGAAGGTTGTTATGAGCAAGAGCAGCAGTGGTGAGCTGTCTACGGTTCAGGGGCTTGTGGAGGCTGTGCTGAACTACGATGTGTAGAGGACTTCTTTAAATCGTGAGCTGGGGATCCTATTATCTTTAATTGTATTGGCATCTGTGTTACACGTTATATGCGTGTTTATACATCAGTATATTCAAGTCTACAAGAGAATAACCCAGGAACAAGAAATTGTTATCATATATTATGTCTTAGCATAGGCGGATCCAGAGTAGGGTGGGGGTGAAAATAAACAGTGCACCCACCCCCATCCTCCTTCTCAAAAAGCTGTATCCAGTAAGATCCAAGTAGGCGACAAAGCAAGGCTAGTTCATAACAAATATTATACCTGACACGTAGTTATAAAGGCAGCATTGATTTACTGTGCTTGGAATAAACCATGATTTTCTGTACACAAGAATGAGGGGATGACTTACGTTTTACGGCGGTTGTAACACGTTATCAGTTTCACCTAGCACAGTGTAAATGGGTCAACCTATCAAACACCCAGTAAACTTTGAAATGCCCGATGTGATGCGGTTCCTGGATGTTCACAACTTTCGTGAAAACTGCCAGCACGGGTACGCGCTCACAAGAAAATCCAGCAAATTCTGGGATTTGATCCAAGGCAAAAGTAGTACATCCACAATGCTAATAGTATATTATTGTGTAAGCTGGGTGGTGTCTGTGGTTCGTGATTACTTTACTGCTATTTGGGGTCGGGAACGGGACCCCTCACAAACAATACTTGTAACCGGCAAATAACCGGCAGCAATAACAGTAAAACATTCTTAGTGTCGACCGTGAGCGCAAGGACAGATTAGAAATATCAAGTGAATGTTTTATCACTGGTAAATGTGAATAGATATTCACGTCTACTTTGACGTATTTTGTAGAAGACATGATCATGTAACTTGGACCTGTACCGGAATGAACATTTAAAAAATACGTTGTTGCATTTTTTCTGTTATTTAGCTAGAGGCATTTATGTCGCATGTAGATGTATGTGAGAGACTGAGTTGGATTTTACGCCGCTTTTAGCAATATTTCAGCAATATGACGGCGGGGTTACACCAGAAATGAGCTCCACACATTGTACCCATGTGGGGAACCTGGGTTTGTGGCATCACAAACGCTTTAACCATTAGGCTACCCCACCTGTGGTGGACATGCATGGTGATGAGGATGTCCAGCGATTGTGTCGAGGCATTGAAATATGGCGGAGTGGAGCGTTTAACAAACAAACAAACAAACGAGGCCTTGATTACAGGTATGGGGCGCAGCGGAAGGTGAGGTAAAATTGGGTTTTACGTCGTGCTTGAGAATATTTCGCTCATATGACGACGTGCATGCGTGTGTATGTGTATGTGCGGCTGCTTGTACTAGCCCAGACTGAAGCTGGTTTTACAGTCGTAGCCCACTGAGATACCATGCCGCAGTGAAGCATGAATACCCCACTCAGACACATTATACAGACTCCGAGCCGACCAGTCCTTGTTGTACCCATTAATGCCGAGCGCCAGGCAGGGACCAACAGGTACCATATTTTTAACGTCTTTTGGTATGACACGGTGGACGCTCTAACCATTACACCACGGAGTCGGTCCGCAGCTGAAGTCTCTATTTACAAGAGTTGTACGATGTATACCGCCCTATATATCCGACTTTTTGAACAAGTTCGGACAGGCTATTGTTTGTACACCATTGTTTCAGATTGCCTAAATAGGGCTCAGTGGCAGTACACATCCTAACAAACAACTGCATGTAAGAGTTGATCAACAATCCAGTTGCGATTCCAACTGGAGCTGGTTGATTTCTTATTTGGTCTAGACAGTTGCTCGTACTATCAACGACTGTATTTTTGTGGCGAGACTCAAAAAGTTGGACTACAGCTGACTGCCAAGTAAACAGTCACGCCTGGTTAAGGCATAATGCCGTCTTGTCAACAAACATTCAGCATGTTCATTGAAAGTACTTGCAACACCTACATATAGTCACTACAACACCAGTGTCAAAAGCATCTAAACTTTCCACATCAACACTTCCAGCAATACTTACGCACTGCATAGTAATGAAAGAAGATGACTGTATTACCAATGTTTATTGTAATAGCAAGACATACTATTTCAGAAGGATTTTTATAATGTAAATTCATGACTGTTATAGCTTTAGCTCCATTATACAATAGTGTCACAGCAGATCGTGTTTTCATGTACTTATCATTGACATATCAGACTCATACATCAACTGTTGTCCTTCAAAAGCTCTAGCCAGCAAGAAAAGGCTTTTGCTGCAGGCCATGACCTGTGCCTGGTCTGAGTATACTGCCAGCCTGGGAAGAGGTATTGTACAATGTGTGTATAAACCCATGGAGTGAGTGAGTGAGGGAGTGAGTTGAGGTTTAGTGTCACATCGGCAATACTGCAGCCATATCGTGACTATAACAATACATACTTTAATAATAAATAAAAGTTATTTCGTAAAATCTGTCAACAAAGGACAGTAAAACTACATTATCACAGATAGAAAGTTAAAACTAGCACGTAAGCATTAAGACATTTATTACAACATAGGACAATGCAATATAGAAACTGGGCTATAGGTCACCAACAACTGAAGGTAGATCACCATACTATGGACCATGGGATAAACCCATGCAGGTGCATGAAGCCCACTGCTTGGTTCAGTCTCTCTGCTGATGGGTATACATCGTGCAAAATACATCTGAAAGATCCATCACATTGCTCACCCTTCCATGTCAAACATGTGCATTAATGTGCTGTTCACAGAACCTGATCAATCAACCCCAGTTTCATGCAGCATCCTCCTTATTAGGTCTCACAACGATCTTGTCCCCCTGTAGCTCCCCCTTCACCTCGATCTCCTGGAGAATCCTCACCAGGAGGTCTGACCACAATCTTGTCCCCCTGTAGTGTCCCCTTCACCCCGATCTCCTGGAGAATCCTCATCAGGAGGTCTGACCACAATCTTGTCCCCCCTGTAGCTCCTCCTTCACCCTGATCTCCAGGGGAATCCTCATCAGGAGGTCTGACCACAATATTGTCCCCCTGTAGTGCCCCCTTCACCCCGATCTCCTGGAGAATCCTCATCAGGAGGTCTGACCACAATTTTGTCCCCCTGTAGGGCCCCCTTCACCCCGATCTCCTGGAGAATCCTCATCAGGGGTCTGACCACAATCTTGTCCCCCTGTAGTGCCCCCTTCACCCCGATCTCCTGGAGAATCCTCATCAGGGAGGTCTGACCACAATCTTGTCCCCTGTAGCTCCCCTTCACCCCGATCTCCTGGAGAATCCTCATCAGGAGGTCTGACCACAATCTGTCCCCTGTAGCTCCCCTTCACCCCGATCTCCTGGAGAATCCTCATCAGGAGGTCTGACCACAATCTTGTCCCCCTGTAGCTCCCCCTTCACCCCGATCTCCTGGAGAATCCTCATCAGGAGGTCTGACCACAATCTTGTCCCCTGTAGCTCCCCTTCACCTGATCTCCTGGAGAATCCTCATCAGGAGGTCTGACTATAATCTTGTCCCCCTGTAGCTCCCCCTTCACCCCGATCTCCTGGAGAATCCTCATCAGGAGGTCTGACCACAATCTTGTCAACCTGTAGCTCCCCCTTCACCTCGATCTCCTGGAGAATCCTCATCAGGAGGTCTGACCACAATCTTGTCCCCATGTAGCTCTGCCTTCACCCCAAACTCCTGGAGAATCCTCATCAGGAGGTCTGACCACAATCTTGTCAACCTGTAGCTCCCCCTTCACCTCGATCTCCTGGAGAATCCTCATCAGGAGGTCTGACCACAATCTTGTCCCCCTGTAGCTCCCCCTTCACCCCGATCTCCTGGAGAATCCTCATCAGGAGGTCTGACCACAATCTTGTCAACCTGTAGCTCCCCCTTCACCTCGATCTCCTGGAGAATCCTCATCAGGTGGTCTGACCAAAATCTTGTCCCCCTGTAGCTCCCCCTTCACCCCGATCTCCTGGAGAATCCTCATCAGGAGGTCTGACCACAATCTTGTCCCCATGTAGCTCTGCCTTCACCCCAAACTCCTGGAGAATCCTCATCAGGAGGTCTGACCACAATCTTGTCCCCCTGTAGCTCCCCCTTCACCTCGATCTCCTGGAGAATCCTCATCAGGAGGTCGGACCACAATCTTGTCCCCATGTAGCTCTGCCTTCACCCCAAACTCCTTGAGTACTGTGACATTGTTGGCAAGTCCCTCTAGTCTCAGTCCCGCCAGGTACTGCTTGTTGTCGGAGTTTGCCTCACACAAGTTCCGGACTGCCAGGACTACCCACTGCGTGATAACTAGTTGTGCTCAGGAATATAACACTCATAAATGGTAACAGAGGCAGCTCCTACCTAGGTATAACTACAACAACCACAAGGATTGATGCTAAATGAGTGTATGGATGCTGGTATATGTACTGATACGACATAGATGTATGCATGTTAATCTGGGGTAGTATTGGTCTTTAGCAACCTATGCTTGTCGTAAGAGCCGATGTAACCAGATCAGGTGGTCACGCTCGCTGACTTGGTTGACATGTCATTGTATCCCAATTGCATGGATTGATGCTGCTGATGCTGATGCTGTTGATCGCTGGATTGTCTGGTCCAGACTCGATTATTTACAGATGCTACCATGTAGCTGGAATATTGTTGAATGCTTTTAAACAACAGCCAAACCAAACCAATGCATGCTACTGAGAAGAGCTGATGCTACCTTGGCATAGAGTATGAGATATGAGTGAGTGAGTGTTAAAGTGAGTGAGTGAGTGTTTGAGCGTTGGAGCGAGCGAGTGAGTGAGTGAGTGAGTGAGTGAGTGAGTGAGTGAGTGAGTGAGTGAGTGAGTGAGTGTAGGTGTGGTTTTATGTCACTTTTAGCAATATTCCAGCAATATCATGGCAGGAGACACCAGAAATGGGCTTACCCTGAGCAAACGGTTTAACCACTAGGATAAATGTGTGAGATATGAAGTTTGTAACATATAATAATGATTGCCATCTGTTAAAGAGGATACAAGGATTTTTTCCATCCATATTTGACTGGTCAAGAATTAAAGGAATTCCATCCAGTTCCCGTACCTGAAACAAACAAAACCACACTACTGCAGTTAGCTGTCAGCTAGTATTTCTTGTCACCTTTACTTCAGAATAACCATAAAACTGACTACAGGGGTTCAAATAGAGATTACCAAGGTTGACATGAGACACCTCTCTTCAGATAAGCCTAACTTCAAATGAACAAAAGACCTCTCGTCTTGACAACCGTAACACACTCCGACTGACTGCAGAGGTCTCTCTTCATGATAACCCTTCATGATAACCCTAATATACTCCACTTGTCCATAGGTATCTCTCTTCATAGTAACCCTAATATACTCCAACTGACCATGGCGGTCTCACTGATAACCCTATCATACTCCAACTGACCATGGAGGACACACTGCTAACCCTAACATACTCCAGCTGAGCATGGAGGTCTCACTGATAACCCTAATATACTCCAGCTTACCATGGAGGTCTCACTGATAACCCTAACATACTCCAGCTGACCATGGAGGACTCACTGATAACCCTAACATACTCCAGCTGACCATGTAGGTCTCACTGATAACCCTAATATATTCTAGGTGACCATGGAGGTCTCACTGATAACCCTAACATACTCCAACTGACCATGGAGGACTCACTGATAACCCTAACATACTCCAGCTGACCATGGAGGACTCACTGATAACCCTAACATACTCCAGCTGACCATGGAGGTCTCACTGATAACCCTAACTTACTCCAACTGACCATGGAGGACTCACTGATAACCCTAACATACTCCAGCTGACCATGGAGGACTCACTGATAACCCTAATATACTCCAACTGACCATGGAGGACTCACTGATAACCCTAACATACTCCTGCTGACCATGGAGGTCTTACTGATAACCCTAACATACTCCAGCTGACCATGGAGGTCTCACTGATAACCCTAACATACTCCAACTGACCATGGAGGTCTTACTGATAACCCTAACATACTTCAACTGACCATGGAGGTGTCACTGATAACCCTAACATACTCCAGCTGACCAGGGAGGACTCACTGATAACCCTAACATACTCCAGCTGACCATGGAGGACTCACTGATAACCCTAATATACTCCAGCTGAGCATGGAGGACTCCCTGATAACCCTAACATACACCAACTGACCATGGAGGACTCACTGATAACCCTAACATACTCCTGCTGACCATGGAGGTCTTACTGATAACCCTAACATACTCCAGCTGACCATGGAGGTCTCACTGATAGCCCTAACATACTCCAACTGACCATGGAGGTCTTACTGATAACCCTAACATACTTCAACTGACCATGGAGGTGTCACTGATAACCCTAACATACTCCAGCTGACCAGGGAGGACTCACTGATAACCCTAACATACTCCAGCTGACCATGGAGGTCTTACTGATAACCCTTACATACTCCAACTGACCATGGAGGTCTCACTGATAACCCTAACATACTCCAGCTGACCATGTAGGTCTCACTGATAACCCTAACATACTCCAGCTGACTATGGAGGTCTCACTGATAACCCTAACATACTCCAACTGACCATGGAGGTCTCACTGATAAACCTAACATACTCCAGCTGACCATGTAGGTCTCACTGATAACCCTAATATATTCTAGGTGACCATGGAGGTCTCACTGATAACCCTAACATACTCCAGCTGACCATGGAGGTCTCACTGATAACCCTAACATACTCCAGCTGACCATGGAGGTCTCACTGATAAACCTAACATACTCCAGCAGACCATGGAGGTCTCACTGATAACCCTAACATACTCCAGCTGACTATGGAGGTCTCACTGATAAACCTAACATACTCCAACTGACTATGGAGGTCTCACTGATAACCCTAACATACTTCAACTGACCATGGAGGACTCACTGATAACCCTAACATACTCCAGCTGACTATGGAGGTCTCACTGATAACCCTAACATACTTCAACTGACCATGGAGGTCTCACTGATAACCCTAACATACTTCAACTGACCATGGAGGTCTCACTGATAAACCTAACATACTCCAGCTGACCATGGAGGTCTCACTGATAACCCTAACATACTCCAACTGACCATGGAGGTCTCACTGATAACCCTAACATACTCCAACTGACCATGGAGGTCTCACTGAAAACCTAACATACTCCAACTGACCATGGAGGTCTCACTGATAACCCTAACATACTCCAGCTGACCATGGAGGTCTCACTGATAACCCTAACATACTCCAACTGACCATGGAGGTCTCACTGATAACCCTAACATACACCAACTGACCATGGAGGTCTCACTGATAACCCTAGCATACTCCAATTGACCATGGAGGTCTCACTGATAACCCTAACATACTACAGCTGACTATGGAGGTCTCACTGATAACCCTAATATACTCCAACTCATCATGGAGGTCTCACTGATAACCCTAACATACTCCAACTGACCATGGAGGACTCACTGATAACCCTAACATACTCCAGCTGACTATGGAGGTCTCACTGATAACCCTAACATACTCCAACTCATCATGGAGGTCTCACTGATAACCCTAATATACTCCAACTCATCATGGAGGTCTCACTGATAACCCTAACATACTTCAGCTGACCATGGAGGTCTCACTGATAACCCTAACATACTCCAACTCATCATGGAGGTCTCACTGATAACCCTAACATACTCCAACTCATCATGGAGGTCTCACTGATAACCCTAACAGACTCCAGCTGACTATGGAGGTCTCACTGATAACCCTAACGTACTCCAACTCATCATGGAGGTCTCACTGATAACCCTAACATACTCCAACTCATCATGGAGGTCTCACTGATAACCCTAACATAATCCAGCTGACCATGGACGTCTCACTGATAACCCTAACATACTCCAACTGACTATGGAGGTCTCACTGATAGCAATAATGTACTCCAGCTGACCATGGAGGTCTCACTGATAACCCTGATATACTCTAACTCATCATGGAGGTCTCACTGATAACCCTAATATACTCCAGCAGACCATGTAGGTCTCACTGATAACCCTAACATACTCCAGCTGACCATGGAGGTCTCACTGATAAACCTAATATACTCCAACTGACCATGGAGGTCTCACTGATAACCCTAACATACTTCCACTGACCATGGAGGACTCACTGATAACCCTAACATACTCCAGCTGACTATGGAGGTCTCACTGATAACCCTAACATACTTCCACTGACCATGGAGGACTCACTGATAACCCTAACATACTCCAGCTGACTATGGAGGTCTCACTGATAACCCTAACATACTTCAACTGACCATGGAGGTCTCACTGATAACCCTAACATACTTCAACTGACCATGGAGGTATCACTGATAAACCTAACATACTCCAGCTGACCATGGAGGTCTCACTGATAACCCTAACATACTCCAACTGACCATGGAGGTCTCACTGAAAACCCTAACATACTCCAACTGACCATGGAGGTCTCACTGATAACCCTAACATACTCCAGCTGACCATGGAGGTCTCACTGATAACCCTAACATACTCCAACTGACCATGGAGGTCTCACTGATAACCCTAACATACACCAACTGACCATGGAGGTCTCACTGATAACCCTAGCATACTCCAATTGACCATGGAGGTCTCACTGATAACCCTAACATACTACAGCTGACTATGGAGGTCTCACTGATAACCCTAATATACTCCAACTCATCATGGAGGTCTCACTGATAACCCTAACATACTCCAACTGACCATGGAGGACTCACTGATAACCCTAACATACTCCAGCTGACTATGGAGGTCTCACTGATAACCCTAACATACTCCAACTCATCATGTAGGTCTCACTGATAACCCTAATATACTCCAACTCATCATGGAGGTCTCACTGATAACCCTAACATACTTTAGCTGACCATGGAGGTCTCACTGATAACCCTAACATACTCCAACTCATCATGGAGGTCTCACTGATAACCCTAACATACTCCAACTCATCATGGAGGTCTCACTGATAACCCTCACAGACTCCAGCTGACTATGGAGGTCTCACTGATAACCCTAACGTACTCCAACTCATCATGGAGGTCTCACTGATAACCCTAACATACTCCAACTCATCATGGAGGTCTCACTGAAAACCCTAACATACTCCAACTCATCATGGAGGTCTCACTGATAACCCTAACATAATCCAGCTGACCATGGAGGTCTCACTGATAACCCTAACATACTCCAACTGACTATGGAGGTCTCACTGATAGCCATAATGTACTCCAGCTGACCATGGAGGTCTCACTGATAACCCTAATATACTCTAACTCATCATGGAGGTCTCACTGATAACCCTAATATACTCCAGCAGACCATGTAGGTCTCACTGATAACCCTAACATACTCCAGCTGACCATGGAGGTCTCACTGATAAACCTAATATACTCCAACTGACCATGGAGGTCTCACTGATAACCCTAACATACTTCCACTGACCATGGAGGACTCACTGATAACCCTAACATACTCCAGCTGACTATGGAGGTCTCACTGATAACCCTAACATACTTCAACTGACCATGGAGGTCTCACTGATAACCCTAACATACTTGAACTGACCATGGAGGTCTCACTGATAACCCTAATATATTCTAGGTGACCATGGAGGTCTCACTGATAACCCTAACATACTCCAACTGACCATGGAGGTCTCACTGATAACCCTAACATACTCCAACTGACCATGGAGGTCTCACTGATAACCCTAACATACTCCAACTGACCATGGAGGTCTCACTGATAACCCTAACATACTCCAGCTGACCATGGAGGTCTCACTGATAACCCTAACATACTCCAACTGACCATGGAGGTCTCACTGATAACCCTAACATACACCAACTGACCATGGAGGTCTCACTGATAACCCTAACATACTCCAACTGACCATGGAGGTCTTACTGATAACCCTAACATACTTCAACTGACCATGGAGGTGTCACTGATAA